GTGCCATCTGCGAGAGGCATTGTTCTTCCACCACCCTAAAGTGGTATAAGAAGTTTGATGAGTGGTGGGAGTGTGACAAGAATGTAATTGCCTGCATGCAAAGACTCTAGTATTTAGTTGTCTAATAGTGTTGTAGAAGCAAGAAAGTCTTTCGACTTGTGGGTCACCACTCGTCGGGAGCTCATTATTATGTGGAGTATACGAAAATGATTTCATGCTTTATAGTTGATTAGGATGATAATGTAGAGGGATCTCTCACGGTGTAAGTGGAAATGCTCACCCCATTTGTTTTCCACACCCAGGTTTTGGCGAGCTGGCAATGGATCGATGGCGAGGGTGGTCACATGTTTTATGTTTATGATATTTATGTTTTAAAAGCTTCCGCTATGCGAAGTTTATTTTATGAAATAAGTCATGGTTCATGCAAGTCAAGTTAAAGTGTAAGTTCTCAAGGCAGCGCCATGAAATGTTCTATGTTCACGTATGAAATGTTTATGTTTCATGAAAAGTTTTATGGTTATGAAAGGATTATGTATGAAACGTTTTTCAAAGTAAGTAGCACCCTGAGTTCCAAGTAAAGTTTTCAAAAGTTTTATAAAAAAAATAAAATTATTCTAGAAATTCAATGTACGAAAAGCGGGGTGTTACAGCAAACAAACCCAAATGAAGCCAATTACTTGAACGGCCATATAATCCAACAAAAGCAAATACAAGTCTTTCATGATAAAATGGAAACCCATTTGAATGCATATTTCAGCTTTCAGTACCAGCAATAAGATAAGCAAACAAAGGGTAAGATAGGCTCAATATCTTCTTAACACCACGAACTTTCTTTGCTCTGTTCTTCCTTTCCTTCATCTGCTTCCTCGACTTCTCAACCTTAGTGTCCAGACCATTCTGAATGCAAATATTCCAGACAAATATATCTGATGTTTACTACATATTGCTAACAAATGAAAACATATATGTTACCACAGCGAATAGAAATAAATTTGGAACAGATTATCCGATGAATATTATCTCATGGGCGAGTGTGCAACTGAAGTCACAAATTCAAGAAAAACTTATCAATATTCCCACGTAATAAGTATGAAGGGCAATATTTTCAAAAACATAAACTCGAAAGCCAATATCCATTTCAAAGTAAATGAAGTATCAAGGATATCAATACCACTTGGTTGATCCTCCATTATGACAAATTTGCCCACGCCAAAAGACAAAATGTAAAGAGAGCATAGCAAAATAATACAACAAGGCAATTTCGCCCCAGCATTTAAATTTCAATATAAGAAACATAGCGCAATATATAGGAAGTAACCAGAGACTAATAATGAAGTTTCACATCTCGAGGAGTAAACATATAGCAATAAGAATGACTGGCTAAATTACCCTGATAAGCCTGTATTTAGGCTCAAACTTCTTTGCACTCTCAACAGAATCATAGATCAAGCCAAAGCCCGTAGATTTGCCTCTACCAAAGTGGGTCCTGAACTTGAACACGAAGATGGCATTCGAATCTTTAACCTCATACATCCTTGCCAACTTCTCCTTCAACTCAGACTTCAGAAAAAATGACAAGTTAAAGAAAGTTAACCTTCAGTACATTCCTATCATTCCACTTTTCGATCAAAAGATCCGATATAAATAGCATTGTCCACATTTTTATTTGCATATACATACTAAATAACCAGAGACACATTACATTACCAGGGTATAGAGAAAGTTCATAATGTTATATAAAAGTAAGCAAAACTTATCCTTTTTCATATCATTAGCATTCTTCATTATGGACTATATTAAATGCAGCTAAATGCTAAACAAAGCTCAATCTCTTATCACACAAAACTAAAAAGAATCAACATGAAAGGACAATCCATAAAACATACCAACCCTAGAAACATTCGCCTTTCCTGGATGCAAAACGTCAATGACCTACAAAAAAATAAAAGTAAGAACAATATGAAATGAATCAAAATCAAGATGAATGGAAAAAACTGCAAAATCAGCTTAATAGGCATACGAATTGTTTCCTAGAGAGGAGGCGGTTCGTCATGAACTTCCTCGTTCTGAAGGTCACTGCTTTTTCTGCCATTTTTTCTGCAAAACAAAGAAAGCAAGGTTGTTAACTCAGCACATTTTCAATCTAAAGCTCGAAAACTCGTGATTTCTTCAGCTTTAGCAGGAGGTACAATAAAATCGGAAATCAGAAGAGGGATACGGCTGAGTTAAACTACCAGCGAGCAGATGAAGCACGACGGATCCACCGCATTTTGACCGCCGATCTGAACGACGTGCTGAGGAAGGCGGAGAGGATTTCAGACATGTATTACGATGCGGTGGATGTTGCGGTTGTTGATGTATCAAGCGCTGAGAATGCTACCCGGGAACGGGGTGAGGCCATCTTGGCCTCCAAAAATAGCCAAAAACCCTAACCGTGAAATACCTCATGAGTTTTGAGCTTATGCCGTAGTAAGCAAATCTTGTCGACACCACAACCCCTGAAGCCAGAAATTCACGGAGAAAAAGGACGCCATTAATCGAGCTCAAAACTATTGTAAAATGAATCTCAAGCGTTTCGATTTTGTTACCGATGATGAATGAAGCAGATTTCCAGCAGCTGGATCTTGATCGGACGGAGGGGCGGCGGTTGTAGTGATGAAGCATGAAATGACACCATCCGGTAGCAGTGGAGCTTTGGCCCGCCTCACCGACTTACAATTTTTCAGTACCATCGTGGTTGTGGCCACGGAAGAAATTGAATGGTAAAAAGAAAAACTTCATCAAATGGGAAAATTATTTAGGGTTTGACGAAATAAATGGGAGTCGACGTTAGGTTACAAAACAACGATGCCATTTTAGGTTTACCTTACGGCTAAAGGACAACAGGCCTGAGGAATTCGGCATTCGTCATATTCAAGAGATATGTGTCGCCTCCGTAAATCTGTCGTCGCGCCGTGTCGTTACGCTTCCAGGCCGCAACATGTGATGATGTCGCCTCCGTCAATTCGAGCCGCCTGCACCATCCGTCCAAAAGCTACCGATTTTCGCCGCTCACGAGCACAGTGAATCGATAGAAAATAGAGAAAAGAGAGAGGTGAGAAGAGGAGATGAGAAATTGGTGGGATTTGAGAGAAATGAAAGAGAGATGAAAAGCGAGACAGCGTGCAAAATGACGTCTAGAGAAAACAAAATGCTGTCAATCACTATCATCGTACAATTACCATACTAACCCTGAAGGAAGGCAAATTATAGCCAACTGAAAAGTTTAAAACCACTTTTAGAAGTAAACGAAAAGACGAAAGAAAAAGAGAGAGGCAAAAGTAAACAACTCATTTAGCCACGTGCGCATTTCTAAATGGTCTCCTATTTCCTTCTATAATAAGAAGGTAGATTTATTATGTTTTTATGCAAAATATATTCGTAAAACAACAAATAAAGAAGAAATACTGAAATAGTTTATAATATAATTATTAAAAAAAAGACAACATATAGCAAAAAAACTAATCCATTTACGATTTTTAAAACTATTTTAGATCTTGAAAGTATTTAACTTAAACTTTAAAAAATTATTAGGTATTCAATCCTGACTAGTGCAATACCCATGTATTACACAAGCTCTTCTTAAATTTTTTCTTAAAATTTAAAATTAATGAGAAAAGTGGTTTACAATTTAAATACGTTTAATAAAAAATATATATATTATTATATATTTTAGTATGACACTTATTATTTATGCGACTTACATGTGTTATATTATAATAATATTTATAACTTATAACATATAACTACTATAAACTTAAATATATTAATTGTGAAATAATTTTATTTTTCTAGTTAATGTTATTATTATATAGATGTTGTTGTTTGATTATCAACAACCAATTTTATATGGATTAGATGGTGATTTGTAAAATTATTAACGTGAAGCATGTATCAACACAAACGCGATGGCCCCGGTCCGAGGTGAAAGTTTATTCGTTTTTGTATATATGAAAGTTCATGATTCGATCCTTGTACAAGAATAAGAATCTACTATTTATAGTAGGGGTGAGCATGGGTCGGTACGGTTCGGCGATTGATAAATCTCCGGAACCGTACCAAAATTCGGAGATCCCAAAATTTGATCTCCAGAACCGTTCCAAAAAATTGACTCGATTCGGTATTCGGGACTATTGGGACGGTTTGGTTTGGTATGGTTTGGATCGGATCTTCGGAGTTTTCTTATTTTTTAATTTTTTTTTTGAATGGCTACCTAGTTATATTTTAATTTTTATATGCTTTAAAAAAACAACATTCATCAATATTTCATCATATTGAAGTTATCTTTTGAAATCAATTTTAGAAGTAACTCTAAATTTTAGTTATTTAATTTTTATATGCTTTAGTAAAACCAACATTCATCAATACTTCCCCATATTAAAGATTTTATTTTGAAATCAACTTTAAAAGTAACTCTAAATTCTAGTTAAGACTAAATTTGTGCAACTAGTATTGAAAATTTAAAATTGAAACAAATATAATATTTTATTTTTTAAAAAAATATTTTTAACCTTTCATATTATTTTATATAACTATTTTATAAAAGAAAAATACAATTGTAGATCAAGTATTATTAGCATAAAATTTAAGTGAAGGTATTAGTTATTACTATATTATATAGGATCAAAGTTGACATAAAATATATTAATAACACATCTAATGTTATAATTCAGTTTTTAATTTCGGTTCTTCGGTTCGGTACGGTATGGGACGGTTTGGTTCGGTTCTCGGTACGAATATTTGTAAAATCTCCAGAACCGTACCAATTATTCCTTCGGTTCGGTTCGGTTCGGTTTGGTTCGGTTCGGAGAAAGTCAAACGGTTAACCGTTATTTTTCGGTTCAGAGTGATTTCAGTTCGGTTTCAGAATTCTCCGAGTCCCATGCTCAACCCTAATTTATAGTATCTTTTTTTGAACCCGTCTACGGTTGCTTTTTGATAAAGGATCTTTTTGGTGGGTGGTTATGACAGTCTGGCCCACTCCAATTATGATGCAATGTGTGGTGTAAGAGTATGTCGTGTTGGCGCCTCGTCACATGCATTGATCTTGACGACCTCGGTTTTGGACGGCAGGTCGGTGACGCTGGAAGGACGACAGGTCGGTGATGCTGGGAGGACGTCAGATGAAATATTGCTGGTCGGCAAGTCGGTTTATGATTCGGATTGAGTCGAAATTCGGTCCCGGTTTAAACCGAAGTGAAGGAGTTGGGCTGATACTATTAATCGTTCATTGAGCATGTAATCTTGTTTGAGTAATGCAGATTACCAGGTCGGTTGTTAACAATAGATAAGTATAATTTATTTATTTTATACATACAATATGAATGTAAGATCGAAATTCATCAAAAGATGATTAATTTGATATATTATATATGTAAAACCGATAAGAAATACAAAAGTTATCAATTTCTAAAATACATTTACAATTCGTTAGATAGGATGAAAGTCACTCAATATTTCTCTTGTTCTGAGGGTGTTCTTCTTTCGTTCTGAGGGTTTCTTCTCCGCAGGGAGTGTTCTTCTTTGACGTTCGAAGGCTAGGTGGATCGGGGTAGATCTATTTGGGGGATTTATCTCTCTCTGTTCTTTACATGCTCTGTTGGTCTTTATGGCAGACGAATTAGGGCAAAGATTAGGGCAAGTCTCCATTGCAGAAGCTGAAAAACTTATCATCGACATTGAGGTTAAAGATGTCTGATTCAGTGCGAAACAATGCAGCCACAGCCTCTTTGGTAAAGTGGTGGGGGAGAAGAAAGACAACTGGCTGGGGGTTAAGCGCATGATGGGACTGCTATGGCGTATGGGTACTTCACTAGAAGTTCGTGAGCTCAATACTAACTATTTCCAATTCCTATTTCCAAATAGAGAAGCTATGTTGAGGGTGGATCGTGGAAGAAGCTCGGTATTTGAAAATCAATACCTTTTGCTCCAACCATGGCAACAAGGATTATCAGAGCAGTATCCCAGTTTCGGAGAGATCACACTTTGGGTTCAAGCCCATGGCATTCCGATTAACTTGCTAAGCATCGATGTCGGCACGAAATTGGGCAGAGCATTCAAGGATATCAAAAATGTTAACTTGGCGAGGGCTGGGCTTCAAGGTGGGAGGATTATTAGACTTCATATTACACTGGATGCTAATGAGCCTCTCCCTAGATGGTCCACGATTCGGCTGGGTGAACAAAAACTGATTGTCCAATTCAAATACGAGAAATTTGTAAGTCTCTGCTTTTACTGTGGGAGATTGGTGTTCCCAGATGAAGGAGGATATTGCCAAAAAAGAACCAAAGGTGGGACAGTACGGTGATTGGATGAGATCAGCGGATGGATTCATTGTCTCGGACTCACCTCCTGCAAGTGCTTACAGTGATCCTTCTACTAATAGGCCTTCGGAACCTTTTGGTTCCTCTAATCTAAGAGAGAAAATGCAGAGCCCCACAACCAATGAATCTACTGAAGGAGAAAACCTGCTACTATCAAATAGCCCAAATCCAACTAACTCCTCAAAAAATTTAGCCATGGTAGAGTCCTCCACATCAAGAGCAGGGGGTGACAAAGGCACAGAAATGATCATTGAACATAGTCCTCCTATCCCACACTTCCCTATCCAACAAGAGAGGGACTGGAGCATTAAGATCATATCAGATGGTGATAAAACCAACATGAAGGTTCAAGCTGAGGAAGATTCAATGCCCCTGACCTCGGTGAAGCCAAATCTTAAACTGAAGGGCAAAATGTGGAAGAGATATAACCAAAAAGTGGTATGGTTAGCCAGTCAGGATGTGCAGACTAAGAATGCTGAGAAGCTAGACAGCCTTAAAAAGAGGAAGGGAGATATTATAAATCTGAAAGGAGAAGACAAGTCCAATGGTATCCAGGATGATGGTAACAAGAAAGCCAAGCTGTCAGGTAAAGAGGTGGTGGTAGCCAGCCATAATTGGCCCCAGAGTGATCAATGCTAGCTCTGGTGTGGAACTGTAGAGGTCTGGGTGGACTCTCTACAGTTCCCCAAATTCGAGAGACTATGAATTCTCACCACCCAAAGTTTTTATTCTTATCTNAAAAAAAAAAAAAAAAAAAATCTTTTACAGAAATGGTGTGTAGATACTGGGACTGGAGGATAGAGTGTGTTGTGTTGATCCTATGGGGAGTAAGGGAGGGTTACTGTTAGGATGGGATATTGATGTCATTGTAATCCAGTTGATAAAATCAAACTTTTGCATCCAAGTACAGTATAAGTTATCTCATGAAGATAAACCTTGTTGGCTTGTTTTTGTTTATATGAGCACTGAGCTCTCTACTAGAACTTCTCAGTGGCACAGCCTGCTTGAAGACAAACAGATTTGGGGAGAGGATTGGTGCATTTAGGTGATTGGAATGACTTACATCTTGCTGATAATAAACAAGGGGGCAGAATCAGAACT